AGCCAGGTACTAACCTGTGATGGTGACGCTGTGCTGCAGGTACCTCGATGACGAGCTGGAGCTATGGCGCCACAGGTAAGTCACCCTGAAGGTGGCGTCCTGCTGCAGGTACCTTGAAGACGAAGCTGGAGCTATGGCGCCACAGGTAAGTATCCCTGGCCTCCGCCAGCCTCCTCTCTCCACTACTCTAGCCTACTGCTACTAGCGCCCAGCGCTGAAGACTACTGCTAACGCTACTCTACTATTGCAGCCGAATCCTGAAGACTACTACCTCCTGCAGAAGTGCACACCGAGTGCCTGGGCAGTCTCCTCTCGTCTGTGTCAACCTGTAGGGCGGGCCAGTCTTACATAGTGCTGGCCCGTCTAGGAGGCTGCTCTTGGCAATGCCTGCACGTGCTAGCCCCTCAGGAAGCTTCAGGGCAGGTCACTCCTGCCAATGCCTGGACGTGCTAGCCCATGAGGAAGCTTCCGGGCAGGTCACTCCTGCCCATGCCCGACTGTGCTTGTTTCAGGGCAGGTCGGTCTGACGAGGGCCCGAGAATAGTCCTCAGTTTCAGGCTAAAAAGGCTCAGGCCTTTTTTTGGGCTGAAACGATGCAGGGCCCGTGGGCCCCGGATGTCAGGCTTTTGGGTTGAACTGTTATGGGGCCAGTAGGCCCGGAAATAGCCCTCAGTTTCAGGCTGAAAAGGCTCAGGCCTTTTTTTAGGCTGAAACGATGCAGGGCCTGTGGGCCCCGGATGTCAGGCTTTCGAGCTGAACCGTCATGGGGTCTGCAGGCCCGGGAATAGCCCTCNGCCCCGGATGTCAGGCTTTCGAGCTGAACCGTCATGGGGTCTGCAGGCCCGGGAATAGCCCTCAGTTTCAGGCTGAAAAGGCTCAGGCCTTTTTTTGGCTAAAACGATCCAGGTCCTGTGGGCCCCGGATGTCCGGCTTTTGGGCTGAACCGTCCTGGGGTCTGCAGGCCCTTATTTCCAGGCCTTGAGCCTGATATTCAGGCTTCCAGCCTGAACGATGCAGGGCCTGGAAAATGGCCCTCGTGTGCAGGCGCAGCATGAGCATTCACCCAGGGGGGGACGAGTTAAATAGATAGAGCGGCGTCGACAGACTCACGAGGAGATAATTGACGGGAGTGCTAGTACAACTTTCAGAGAGTGAAACACTCAAGCAAGAGGCAGAGTACCCACATCAGAAAGATGTGTGAGTCTGCAAAGGAGAGATCATATGGCAAAGAAAACGAAAGGCTACCCACATACTGGTGGGAGAGGAGAGAACTGTCAAAGCAAGTTCAAGCAACCACAGCGTGGCGAATCAAGAACATATACAGGTCCTGATTTTGTTCGTACAAACTACCAACATCTTGGATGCACAAAATCCCATTTTGTAAATTTTGCACTGGTTTTATTCTAATTTTTTTACCATATAAAAAAAAAACATCATTTAAAATGCTTAGGTCTGATTTTTACAGGATTATTAATAATTTATTATATAAACGTTCCCTTACCTCAAACGGATGCAGCGCGGTGATGCCTTCTTCGTGCAGCGATGGAGAATCTCCAGTGCCATTCTTGCTGAAAATCGTCGCCACCCCGTTCTTCTCCGCTCCTCTTTCGTCACCACCCACTCCTCCTCTGCTGATCTCCTCCTCCTCCTCCTCCTTGGTAAGGGTATCTGTTGTCAAAGGTTCCCACCTGCCTTTCTCCTTCATATCTACCAATTGCTCCGCGCGTCTGACCGATTCCATAACTGCAACTGCTTGCGTGGGTCCAACAGCGTAAACACGGGTGCATTCGGGTAGGGCCTTGCACACTCGTCTAGGACTCAAATTGCCTCCAACAACCTGCAGTCGGTTGATTCGACACAGTAGACGCCGTCAAGTACCATTTGGGGGAGACCATTTCTCGACTTATGTGTGTCATCCTTGTGAAGGGGGCATGATGCTAATCTTCTCTTTTCTCTGTGTCATTCCAATTTTAACGGATGTCCCGAAGAACAATTGCAACTGATTTCACTGCTAGGTTCCAGTTGGCACACTCGTTCCAGAGTTCCACCGAGTGTGTCATGAGGTTCTGCCCAGTCCCAGGAGGTCCCATCCTCCCCAGCACCACCAAGTCCCATCTCTTCCAAGATGCTTTCAGTATAGTGACATTTTTCCACTCATTTGCACAAGGTCCCAAAACCATTAAACATATTGACGCGCAAGATTATATTGCATGCCACACGCCGTTCTGTATGGTCCCACAGAGTGTGCTATATGGTCCCACAGCGTTCATATGTTCCCGCAGTGTTCAGTATGGTCCCACAGAAAATGTTCTCTGGTCCCACAGTGTTCTACAATGGTCCCACAAAGTGTTCCATATGGTCCCACAAAGTGTTCCATATGGTCCGACATGGAATGGCACACAGTCCCAGAGAGTATATTCCATTTCTCGGGTATTAGTCTTTTTGTTTTCCTTCCCCCCCCCCCCCCCCCCCCCCTCCCGACCATTTCTCGATCTCTCTGTGTGTCATCCTTGCTCAGGGGTCATCCTAATCTATCTTCTCTGTATCATTCCATTTCTTTCCATTTTTTAACGGATGTCCCGAAGGACATGCACATCCAGTGTTTACGTGTCACAAAGTTCCATATTCCAATTTTTGCACAAAGTCCCAGTTTTTTAGCAAAACACAAAAATTGACTGATTGTTGGGCACGTTGGGAGACAGCAGTGAAAAGCTGCCATCGAGCAACGGAGAGGGGTGATTTGCGCAGGTGGTTAAAAGAAATTGAAACCACATCGACAAAAATGCACGAAATGAAAAACAGAGTCCCATAACTTCTGTGTTGATATTTCTGAAAGACGTGATCTTCTTGTCACGATGTGACAGAGAGGCAGCAAATAACGTTGTTAGCAGCGTTGCATACCCTCCAACCACCGATGCCAACAGTCGACCAGCCGACCGGTCGGCGGTCTGCCAACCAGGCCCGAGAGAGCCGTTTGCTGATTTTTTTTCAAATCTGAGTTCGGCGCTGTACTGCCCTTGCCGAGCACATCCCCAATTTACCGAGAAACTTTTGGAGATGTGTGAGGGTTAGCGGGCGGTTACATGGGTGTATAGGGTGTGATGGGGGGGATATAGGGGGGGTATAGGGGGGGTATAGGAGGAGTATGAGGGTGTCAGGGAGCAGTATGGGGGTGTTGGGGGGGGGGG